TCCTCGAGAGCCTGACGAAGCTGATCTTCGGTATATTGAGGCATTATATATAGAAGAAGACATGTGCAAAAGATGAGCCCATTTGGACGCGAATTGAAAATGTTGTGATAAAAGGAGGTTGGGGGTGGGCATTGGGTTGTGGTGGATTTTCGCGTTTTTGTGGGTGCCAGAAACAGGGGGGTGCCAGGAAGTGGGTATGTTGACTTAGTCCGCGACCTCGGGCGTCACTTCAGCCTCGTTATTTTTGAAGCTGAAAATATCACTAAAGTTCAAGATCCTGTATAATCTCAAACGTTATTATGTTATTTCTGAAGAATATCCAATAAGGTCGATCAGTAGAACTCTTTTTTTAATTGCCGGTGATTCAGGCGTTTATCAGTTGAGTCAGTCACTCACAAATTAAGCATATTCCGGTCCAAGGCCTGCAGTATCAACGCACGAGATGGCTGTCATCTCATTGCGCTCAGACTTCGGCTAACATGTGAAACTCGATTATGCAGCTTTAACTTCTGGATCACTACGTAGATCATTGGCTATCCACTAAACCTACAGATGTACTCGAACCCTAGGTTCGCGATTTGACTAGGGTACTAATTTCATCATCATTGGCGTCTCTGAAGATGGCATGCATCAAGCTATTGGGGCCTTTTCGATTGGCACTTTACCGGTGTAATCACGTACTGCTAAGGCTCATGTAGTTACTGTAATGCAATTGCTACGAAACAGGGCGGTGAAGGTAAATATGCAGCATCAGTGGGTTACAGGGATAAACATACTGGACACTTGTGGTTTGCAACATTCTGGATTCGATGTGTATCCCACCGTTTATACTGTAGTGGTCAGTCTCGGCATCTTAATGACATTGATGTATATCTTTGCAGACTCAAATAGCCCACCTAGTACGAGTCGGAGTAGTAGCACGAGATACTGTGACAAGGTACTTACTGGGATGACGTGCAGAAGTGTAGAAGAACTCGGACCGAAGTATCGCGATGGAATTACTAATACTGTAAAGCCACAGGGCGCCACGGAGATGGCCGGTGGTCACGTTATGGAACTTCCTGTCAAACTGAAGAGCAAATGGCAAGCCAACTTCAATGAATGGTGGATTATCGGCAACTGGACCGATCCGCGACCCACGCCGGATCCTATATCTGTAAATAACAAGGTGCCGGGCGCTGCCAAGGTTCCTGGCACGCTCGCCAAGCCAACTTTGAGATGAATCTAGCCGAAGTAGCCAATTGCTTTAGAGTTGCCCGGCCGGCAGGTCGGCCGGCAAGTCAAACCTCGGCGTTAGGAGAAGTCGCTCGCAAAATATCATCACGGACTTATGTGTGCATGATCTTGGAAGCGATCTTTACGCAGTGACACAAGTTTATTGAGACATCTAATTGCAAGAAGCCGAATGTAAGATACGTGTACGAAGGAGAACACTCGGCATCCTGCACAGGACTCGGAGGGGAGATGCTGCCTAGGCGATTTTTCACCCATCGCTAAGATCCGCGGGTCTGTTTCGTGAAGTCATTCGTTGGGAGCATCTAGAGAATCTGGCATTTAGCCGCCAGGCCGATGATATTCAGCATCGGTAAGAAAGGATGAGCTCCAGTCACCAATTGACGATTATTATGGGACCATGGGCTTGACTTATCTATTGCGCGGAAAGGTTGCAGAACGTGGATTGACTTTGGGAGTAACACTCTGCGTGGCGCCGTACATGCGTTTCAGCGGGCCTGGTGACTTGGGAAAGACAGACTCCGACCCCATACCCATATGCGATTCCAGCGTGAACTCAGTTAGCCTTGCCACTGGAATCGAAGTAATACGGTCCTGGAAGCAAGTGATAGCTTTGGTGAACGCGGACAGCCAGTCTGTCTTCTCCGATGACTTTGCGAGCGAGTTTTCAGAGGCCTTTCCCGTAGACTCTGGGCTCATCCTCTTGAGTTGGCCTCCAAAACTGAAACCAGCTATGGCATATCTGATTGACGGGCCTCAAGAGGATATGTTCATGAATGACCCCACGCCTCATCTGTGGCAAAGCTTAGGTGGGGCCGTCGGACGAGGAGATATTGTTCTCGCATTCATGGATGAATAGATTTAGCGGAAGTGAGGAGGAGACTTATTCAAAATCAAAATGGCGGAAAATGCGAATGAGCATTTTCTAAATCCGAAGAGCTCGAGTAAACTATCTGGCCTCTGGCAGAGTAAACTACCTGAAGCCGTTGCCGTCCCGAATCAGGCAGACGAGAGGCGCCATTGAAGTCAAGGCCACTACCACTGAAGAGCGTGGTAAGATCCCTAGAATTGTATCAGGTGAACTTAGCTATACCATCAAAATTTCCTGCGGAAGCGCAGCCTCCGAATGCACACTGATTCCTTCAGGAAGGTTGTCATGCTCATCTTCTCTAGAAGCCGATATTGAAAACCGCCCGGGCTGATCTAGGGCTTTCAGATACGTGTCTATCACGTGAACCGGCGGCGCGACGGGCAAGGCGTGATGCCATTGAACTCCCACCACTCTCGGTTTGACAAACACTTCAGATCCGTATTCGGCAACTTGAATAGCCGTCTTACGTAGAAGAGCTGAACCTCTGGATAAACACTCTCCATAATAACCAGGGTAATTGCTGGAGTTGAGGTCTCGTGAAGTCGATGCTTCATGAAGCCGTCGACGGGCCTACCTCACACTCCGACTCTCGTAGTCCATCGTGTCCGACCATAAGCTACACGTACATGATGGCAGCACCTATAGCCTCCATTAAGCCTGCGATTCTTACCCTCTACAAGATAATCTATTGAAGTCGCAATTATAAGCATGATATAGAAGAACATTGCCGACAATGGACGACTAGAATTAATCACTTTCACGGAACCTGCGTCTTAGGATAAGGTAAGTAGCGATATGAATCATATTAAGCGCATTGCTGCTACCCGAGACACAAAAGCACGCTGATATCAACAAAAAGCCTCCCAGATCCGCTTCCCACCCCCTCATCGTCTACTGATTCTGGCTCAAGACTGATTCTGGCTCAAGACTGATTCTGGCTCAAGATCACATCGGCAGCCTTCTCACCGACCATGTACGTAGACACGGCAGTAAACGTGCCAGGAATCCTCGGGTACACCGAGGCGTCAACAACTCTCAAGCCATTAACCCCACGCACCCTGAAGCTGGAGTCGAGCACAGCCATCGGATCATTATCGGCGCCGATAGGGCACGTCGACGAAGCATGGTGACCCCACGCCGTATCCTTGATATACTGCTTCACAGCCGCGTCACCCTGGACGCCTGCGCCAGGCAACTCCTCCTTGATGGGCACCAACTGCCGCTTGAACGCGTCGCGAGTAAGCTTCACGGTCTCCGTCATGGCCTGTAAATCAGCCTCGGCGTTGCCGGAGCCGGTATCAAAGTAGTTGTAGAGAATATCCGGCACGTCGAGCGGGTCAGCCGTGCGCAGCGTCACCGAGCCGGCCGTGTTGCGCGGGTGCGACTTGAGAATCGCCCAGGTGAACCAGTCGTGCTCAATGGTCGCGTTGACGCTGTAGCCGGGGAAGTAGCCCCTAAAGTTGACGGGTCCGCCGAACGCGAACACGTCCCACTCGTTACGCTCGGTGGTGCTGCTCTTGTAGAACATTGTCGCCGCAAAGCCCGAGGACTCGTAGATGCCGCGGTCGCCGAGGATAGGGGTGTTCCAGCGCGCGAGGCACGGGTCGGATTGCCCGTTGAAGCCGAAGGTGCAACCGTTAAGAGCGCTAAAGTCGGCGGGCGTGCGACCCTGGACGGCGATTTCGTAGTGGTCTTGCAGGTTCGTGCCGACGCCGGGGAGGTCTTTAACGATGGGGATGTTGAACTTGCGCAGCTCGGCGGCCGGGCCGATGCCACTAAGCTTAAGGATCTGCGGGGAGTTGTAGGCGCCGCCGGCAATGATGACCTCGCGGGAGGCGGTTGCTGTGCCGCGGGTGCCGGCGCCGGCATTGCGGGAGCGGGGGCTTGCGCGGTACAGGTATTTTCCGTCGAGGAACTCTACACCGGTAGCCTTAGGTGGAGAGGAGTTGTCGAAGAGGACTTTGGTGACGTGACAGCTAGTGCGGACGTCGAGGGGGTATCGCTTCGCGCCGGTGATAGTCTTTGCGTCACGGACGGCGACGATGAACTCGCGGGAACCGACACGGTGGGCGTCGTTGGAGGAGATCGGGATCTGGTAAAAGCCAGGCGTCGTGTCGCGGCTGGCGGCCACGTTGTTACCGTCGCCAGCGAGCAGGGTGGCGATGTTGAAGACTAAATTTGTCTCGTTTCCGAGGGCGAATGCGCCTCCGGTGACAAGGCTCAAGAGCTGAGGGTCGAGAAGGGCGAGGTTGAGAGGGGCAGTCTCGGTGCTGTACCAGCCATTGTATCCATGGCCAGGAACACCGGGGAGAAGGTAGCGGTTGTTTTCCATCCGGATGAAATAGTTTCGCATGTTGTCTGCTGACCAGGACGAATCACCGGTGAGGCTGGCGATGTAGTCAAAGTCGGAGCGGTGAGGGTAGACAGCAATGAGTGCATCATGGGCGGTGCAGCCTCCGAGAGTGCCAGAGCGAGGGTACAGAGTTCCCTTCATCTTGGAGCCGGAGGGCGGGTTGAGGCCGGTGTACTCGCCGCCACCTGGTGTCTCGTATGTGGTCTTGAAGTCGCGAGCTTGCCTTGCTTCGTCGGCATAGTGGCGGACGAAGAAGTCCCATGCCATGGCGTCGTCTTCGGTGGACTTTGCTTGGTAGGCTGGGACGGTGTAGTTCTCGTTGGCTCCCTGGTCATCGCCGGCTTCGATGAGAAGGGTTTTGCGGCCGGCGAGGGCGAGACGGGCAGCCAAGACTCCGCCGCCGGCGCCGGAACCGACGACGATGAACTCATAGCCGGTCAGGTCGACAGCAGCGACGAGACTTGTGGAAGCGGCGAGGAGGCCGAAGAGATTTGTTAACCTCATGGCGATGTCTATTGTGAAAAGCGGCTTGACTGGAGTTGTAGGTTGAGTCAGACATGGGAAATCCAGAGGACGATGATAAACTTGGGGATAATACACACCTTGAGAGATTCGTCGACGCCGAGGTATCCGTAATTACTTGCAGATCTTGATACCCATCCCACGAGGGATCGCCAGCTCTTATAAGCCACGATCGACGAGAAACATATAGGCGCACATGGTGGTGATCTCTTTGGGGAGGCAGCTAGTGGGCAATTAATCTCCAGGGACTCGGCATGACGAAGAATGCCACCTTGATCCATGTCCGCGCCGCTGCGCTTAGAATTAGTCGATAGCCCGGACACTGTTCCGGGCCTTCTCGGCGCGGGGTCACTGGCTCGGTCCGCCAAGATTTTGCTGGCGCCTCCCTTTCGTGCTTGATTGAGTCAAGCTTTTGAGTTGTCTTTCCCAAAAAGACAAAGGAAAGTGACGACATTGTAAATATTTGCGAATTCCAAACCAGACCAAGGGGCTTTAAGAAGCGGCGAAGGTTTATCAAGGGATACGAGAACCTCAACTATTAGACGAGGCACGAAGGGTTGGTAGGATATTGAGTTATTTTCTCCTGAACCTAAGGAGCCAGTGAGAGGAGAAAGCTGACAGGGGAAATATCAAAGTTGGTCCATCTGGAAGAAGAATATCGGATCGAGAAGTTGTCGATGTTGGGTTACTTCGGGGCTGCGCTCGTGTTGAGCAACACAGATCATCTGATGCAGAAATAGTAGTCACTCAGCCGGGCCATTCCTTGCACAGTCCTCATCTCAACTTTTGGATCCCTGTCGTCCGAATGCTCGCAGGCTACGCAAAACGATTTGCGGTTGCTGTTTTGCCCCCTTGGACTAGGTAAAATTTACAGTTCACTAGACCGCGCGGGATGGCCCTTCGCCGGACAGGGTATCCCATGCTCTCAACGCCAGCAATTCAACGACCTCTAGGACGACATTATGTAGACGTGCGGAGCGGCGTTCGCAGGCGGCTTCACTTTTCGGAAGTGGCTGCGATGACGATCATTGTCGCATACAGCAGTGCTCTAGCAATCTGCCGAGACTGTTAGCACACCTCTTTCAGTGATGGCGGTTCGCTAGTCTTTTGCTAGTGCTTGCCTCACCCTCCGCCGCGAGCGCTGCAATGCAACACTGAATCTTGAATTAACGGGTCTTCCCCGCACTGCACTCACTGCAGTTCTGTACTCCGTAGTCTGCTCTGCGGGTTTGGTTGATCTCGGCCGTGAATGTGCTCCGTCGAGAGAGGGGTGGTTCGGGATCTCATGCAAGACTGAGACTGCGAGGTGATGAGTTACGCGCGAAGTGATGGAAGCTACCGAGGTAAGTTGTGAGACTGACAGCGGGCGGGCGACTCAACATGACGGAGATGGCGTAGGAGTAATTCTTGAGCCGGTGGGAGGCTTAGCGGCTCATTTTCCGCAAGTCAATTCGGGCGGTAATGGAGTTGGGGCCAGATTGTGATTTTGGATTTGTTGTTGAGCAGCAACTGTCGAGGATATCTCAACCGGCCCTTCTCTATCGCATCTTGCGTCAATGCCCATCAGAGCGTCTGCCGTTCAAGGAGAAAGCATGCTGAGATTGGAGATATCGTCACCACTGTCAAGGCGAGTGAAGGGTAGCATTCGAGGTCATGTCAGGGCGTCAGCATATCCTCCCTGTTTCTTGCTTCTTCCCGTGTCCCTCCCTTTCAAGCGTCCCATACCTAGCGGACATGGAATACCCCGAGACCCCAACGGACTCGAAAAGACGACAAGGATGGGAAGAATCGCTGCAGCGAAGTTTGCGAATATCTTGCTGTTCACGTGCGAAAGCAATGAATCGCTCCTCGAAAGATCGACAGTCCTTGCTCGTTGACGTGGTACCCATAGAGTTCGGACAAAGATCGACCGGCTCCCCAGTCCCAGCCACGTTGTCGCGACCTTGCACATTCGCACTGACTTGCCAGCCTTGGATCTCTTCACCGTTGCCAGTCAACCGGATTCAATGTCGGGCAATTGAAGTAATATGTTGCGAGGTCCTCGCATTATTCAACATCACCAGTCTGCGCTGCCTCTTCAATTCAAGACGACATGGTTGCCGAATCAAGCTAGAGGTAAGGTAGCGTGAGGGGGAGGATTCGTGGAGTGGAGTCGTGAATAAGCTTAATACGCCGAAGCCCAAGTCGTGCAGCACAAGTGCATCTTTTTCGCCGCCGGCTGTGCTGTTGACTCGGAAAGACTTGATGTTTTGGCTACGATGTTTGACTGGTAGGGGGAACAAACCTTCCGGGGAGTTCGTTCGCTCGTTGGAGCCGGAAGGGGAGGAGATGGGAGCTCTTCGCATACGGCTCTCTGATTGGCCCCTCGGCAGCCCGCGGTATCCCGTGGTTGAGACCCACCCGACGGAGCTCTGACCAGACAACTCATCCTTCAAGTATGACCTAGAGTTCAGACATTTCAACAACCAGCATCTGTAGTGTAGTGGTTATCATCCTTGCCTTCCATTCCTCGGATCAGCAAGGGACCCGGTTTCGATTACCGGCGGATGCATCACGCTGGTTAACTTTTTGCATTTTCCGTGAATGATCTTAGGCCCCTCCCATTTTTGATTCTTTTCAACGTAGTTTTTTCCTTCATTTTGTTTTGGGATCTCTCAGAAAGGTGTGCAATCGCACGGTTGGTGGTGTCCAGTTAGACGCGCAGGTATAGACTTCGAATGAAGCTTTTCGGGGACGACCTGCGATTCCGTGACTCCGACCAGGCACTTTGGAGAATGATGAATGGTATGTATGCACGAAGTCTAATATCTCCCCTCTAATTCTCAGTGAACGACTTCAACAGGTGCAATGTACAATTATTGCAAAAAAAACTATTATTGTCTTGAAGAGAGGGATGGACTTGGATTTCTCGTTCCTGGCAGTGTACCTATGTATTTGAATGCAACATGCGGCCACATTGATTATCATCATCATCATCATCATCATTACAACTACCTCGAGCTATATTCCTGCCTCAGACGATAATAGCATTAAAGTAACCCCCCCCCCCCCCTCATTATCTCATCCACCCTCCCTCCACTCAAATAGTAAAAGTCCCATTCACCCTCAAATCCCGACTACTAGCCCCAACCCAAACCCCATACTCACCCTCACTCAACCGCCACTGCTGTGCACTCACATCCCAAAAGCTCAAATCCCGCCTCGTTAGCGCAAACTCCGCCGTCGCGCTTCCGCCCGCCTCGACATACACCCTCTCGAAGCCCCTCAACTGCTTCGCGGGCGTGCCCTCTACGGGAATACCAACATACAGCTGCGCGACCTCATGGCCGCCCACGCCGCCCGTATTCTGGACCGTCACGCTCACGGAGACGACTTCCTCCCAGAGGGCGGGGTGTCCGCCCTGAACAATCGCGACGCTCGGATCCGGGATACCGGCGCTCACGCCCGACGCGGGACTCGCGGAGAGGGAAGAGTAGCCAAAGGTAGTATACGATAGCCCGAAGCCGAATTCGTACCGGGGCGAGATCCCGTCGCGGTCAAAGGCGCGGTAATCGATGAACAGACCCTCCGTGAAATCGTCCTGCGGGAACGGGCCCGCTTCGACAGTCGAGTTGAGGAGGTTACCGTAGTCTGTCTCGGCGCGGGCGACGGTGTAAGGGAGTCTGCCGCTGGGGTTGACGTCGCCGTAGAGGATGTCGACGAGGGAGTTGCCCGATTCCTGGCCGGGTAAGCCGGCAAAGAGGATTGCTGTCACGTTGGGATGGTCTGCCCAGGCTTCGACAACGCGGGTTCCTGTAGGAACTTCGGTTAGCGGTGGCTATGCTAGATAGTAGCATAAGACTTACCGGCAGAGTGCAACACGACAATCGTGTTGGAGCAGTTGGCCGCGACGTTGTTGACCAAGTTATCGCTAAACTCGTCCGTCAGGCTTGGTCGGTCGTATCCCTCTGAGGCCCACGCGTTGATAAAGACCAGACATGCCTCCGAGTTGACGTAGTTGGGCTGCGGGTTCTCAGAGTAGAAATCCCACTTAACCACTCCGCCGTCCGCGATAACACGGTCCTGGATGGCCTGGAAAGGAGTAATGACATATGGCGGCGTCGTCGTTCCAGAGCCGCCACCAGAAAGCAACGTCCCGTTGAAGGTATCCGCCAGTACAGTACCCCATGACGGGCCATAACTCGTGCTGCCCCACGGCGTGGGAGGCAAGCTAGCATCGTAACCGTACACCGTCAAGAACTTGGGGTTCTTGAACGGCAACGTGCCATTGACGTTCTTCACCAGCACGGTACCGGCGGCGCCGATCTCGCGAATGATCGCCTTGTGCCCGTTCTGCACGTCGACGGGCGCGTGCTTCTGGAGGTTCGAGTAGGCTCCGACGGCTGGGTAGTCGTCGCTGTCCTGGCCGATGTAGTACCACGCCGCAAGAATTCTTGTCGTCATGTCCTCGACGCGTTCACGGGTGACACTGCCGTTGTTGACTGCCTCGACGAGGGATGCGCCCCAGAAGGCTTCGTTTGGCATGACCAGGTCGAGACCTGCGTTTGCGGTTGCCACGCCGGCGTGTTGTGCGCCCCCTGTGGTAATTGTAAGCAGCGGCCATGGAGACCAGAAAGCAAGAGAAACTTACAGTCGCTGACAACGAACCCTTCAAACCCGAGCTCAGTCTTGAGGACTCCATTGAGCAACTTGGAGTTTTGGCATCCGTACGAGTTGTTGGCGCGATTGTAAGAACACATGACCGACGCAGCGCCCTCCTTCAACGCATCCATGAAAGGGAAAACATAAAGCTCATGCAACGTCCTATCATCAACATTGGATGATCCGGCCTCGCCTTCTTCAACACTCGGGTTCCGGCGGTACTCCTGCTCGTTGAGAATCCAGTGCTTCGGGCACGCAATGGTTCCAGCATCCTGCATTCCCTTGGTAATACCACCGACGCCAACAGATGACAGGTACGGATCATTACTCAGACCCTCCCA